GTGCACCTTTTTTTTTTTTTTTTCGTGAAAACTTTCTTCCTTTTTCCTGCGGCCGAGGTTTATGTGGATTTAATTAGGGCTGGATGCTCAGGTACTTTGCGGGCGCGTGCAGTTCGATTGAAAGAGCTTCTTCGCCTCTAATGGCACTTAAATACTGTATACTAACTCACCTCGAGTCTGCCCTTTTATACCCTCGCTGGTTTTATCAGCACATATATGCTCTATAATTTTTCAACTTGCACAGTTACTAAAACTTAAAACTAAATATCCTAAAGTTTTTAAAACTTGCATTTAAATAACATCAATTATGTAAGCACAATAATTTCTCGCCGGAAATTCTCATGCAACCTCACATAATAATTTTAGAAAATTTCCGCCTCTTAATAATTGTTAAGTTTATTGTCAGAATAAAATATAAAGTAAAATAAATAAATAAAGTTAAAACAAAGTGAAATATAAAATGAGATAAATAATAAATTAGTTAGTAATAATAATAAAATAAAATAATAAAAAATAATCACCCCCTTTATAGATGAAGAGAATATAATGTTTCGCCTAAATTCGTCACATGGCAAGTAGAAAGTAACTCAAAGTTGTCATGTGGTACTAAGTTGAAAGTTAGATATAATTACTCTCTTTTCTAATATCTTTGAAATTCTAATTGATTCCAAGCATATCTTAGGAAAGGTATATCTTTACAACAACTATTTTTTAGACCTTTTAATTCGTGTTAGCATTTCCAGAAATTCAAAAACATATCACCTCCAAATCCTAAAATTTTGGGATTTTTTTTTCGTCTCAAGAAAAATTTATTTATTTACAAATTATAGGCAGGAAGTCCAATGAGAAAAGTTCAGAATTCAAGGGGTTGTGAGAATCCCAAAGTTCAGGGGATTATATGATATGAACAAAGTTCATGAGGGCTATGCGAGAAACAACCAAATATTTAGGGGGTTATGTAAAAATTACTCATTTCCTCTATAAAGTCCATAAAAGCAATATACAAGAAAAAGATCGTAAAAATACAAAAAGTATAGGAACAGTTAACATTAAAGTATTTAGAACTTCGTATATTTACATATTATATTCTTTGATTTTTCTCATTTATATGTTGTATAGACTAAACATGTAATTATAGTTGTAATATTATTAAATGCAAAATCAATTTAGAATGAAAGCCCAAATGGAAGGGGAAAAAAACTTGATATACTAATTAAAGAAAACATATTCATTTGTGCAAGCACGGGCATAACTTTTGGGCCATGTTTATATTTTGATAGCCCAGGGTGCTATTATGAAATATTGTGGACCGGCCTTTTTGTACAATGTTTATTTTTTTGTCGGATCGGGTACGTTTTGAAGAAGGCGCTAGATAATACCACAAAAGGAGACTAATCTAGACCCACCGCACATGTACATCTGGTTAATTAGATTTTTCTTTTCTTATAATTGCATTTTGATTAGTTGAACATGGATGTCTATTATATAATGACAGAGATGAGGTGATATGTCTATTTTCTAGACAAAGTCTTGTTCAAATTTTAAATTTTCTGCCGGATAGATGCACTAACACAATATTAGTTAAACAAAGAGCAAACAAATATATGGTTATGATATTAATCCCAACGATCATAATCCTTAAAACATAAGTTAGTATGATTGTTAGTCCCTGTGAAAAAACTGCTGGATTGGACTAAAATAATCCCAAGATAACATAATTCTAGGAGTACTATAGTATGGGGCTTATGATACGCCCTAATCCCAAGATAAAAAAAACAAAGAGTTTCTTCTAAAAGAAAAGATTACCGGTTATAACCTTCAATTCAAAATGAGAGGCTGGGTAGAGCCATCAAAGATTGTCATTAAGGTTAAATATTTAAGTATTTAAAATTAAGTTAAACTAGGCAAATAAAAACAAAAAATAAGCTAAACTAGAATTTAGGCTAAATACCATAAACAACCCCTTGACGTTAGAAGATTATAAATAGAGGTTTGCTTTGGTGCTCCGAAAATAGCCCTTTTTTCAAATTTTTAAATTGACAAAAATAAAAAATCAGTTAAGATAAGAAAGGGGTATTTTAGTCTTTCCAAATTCTTATCTAATTGCTTTATATCCTGAAAGCTTCCGTTGCTTCTTCCCTTTCTCATCGTCAATCTCTCCCTCTCAAAAAATTTTTTCTGCCATTGACGCTCGTGTTCACTCTGCCTTGCATAGAGAAATTATTTTCTTTCTTCGCTCCCTGAGAGGAGTCTCTTCCTTAGCCACGGCGAGTTCGAACAGGATCAAGGTATGTAATCACTCATTAGAACCCTAACTTTTTCTCTGATTGTGGGAAAATTGATAACATGTTGTTTGCTAATCTCGTAATGGTGCTGATTTGAAATTAGGAACATTCTTTTTCAATACTAAAACTGTCTATTTTGTTGGTTTGATCTTGTATGCGCACTTAGGGTTTATTTGGGGTAAAATTCAAACTTTATGCAAGTTTCTAATTGTTGTTGATAAAAATTGGTCAATGTTATTTATTAACTTCATAGTGGCAATTTCCCATTTGGTCTGCATCGCAATATAAAAGCGCCGACAATATTACAGCAAGGATGATAGAGATAGATATTGTGTTCTTGCAAAATGTCCGTTAAGTGAATTATGATGAAAATTTAATGACAATTTCTGTGCACAGTAATGATAAATAAGAGAATAATCTATGTTTTGCCAAATTATAACAGATTAAGAAAGTAAAGTAAATCTTGCTAGGTGTGAGCTAGGTTGACCGGCCACTTTGGAATTTTTTGCTAAAACTATGAAAACGTATATCATGCTGACATCCAACAATTAACAATGTTGCTTGCAAGAACCTTTAACCTGAAAGTTTCTTTGAAGAATTAGTTTAGTACTTTGCATTCAAGACTTGAACTCCAACAGTATGATGTTAAAGGCAATGGCTGACATAATATAAAATAAGCAATTACAGTAAATTCATTACGCCGATTAGTTGCCTCCTTAAACTAAACTGCTGACTTATTCAAATATAAACATCATCCATGTTCAAAAACTAGAATCAAGACTTCAAGAATTCTTTTATCCCAAGGTTAAGAAATATTCTTAAGAAGTTAGTCTATTGCTATCAATCAAATTAATAAGTAAAAGCACTTTAACTTCAGAATAATAGTTGACCAATTGTGATACAAATTAGGTAGATAAAAACTAGGAGTTAATTAACTGCGCATAGACTCTTGTTGTTTTGCACCCAGAACCCTTGTAGTTTCATTGTCGCAGAGAAACTGCGGAGTTAATTTTTTTTTGAACCCTTAGACAATTTTTGGTAGATATCGCCTCTAACTGAATATCTCTAGTTGCAAACTCATAGTTGAATATCTCTTTAACTCTTTTTTTTTCCAGTGTCTTTTCCTCATACTTATTCTGTTTATTACCTTGTAACTGCATTTTGCATGATAATTTTCACTTTCGTACTAATTCCATTTTTGATCTTCTAGTACTCCAAGTCTTTTTATATTACCAGATAATTTTCGTACTTACGAGTGAATCTGCTTAACTTGAGTTTGAATTGCAGTTCAGTAGTCTGCTGCCGTGTTTCTCCATTACAAGATTAGTAGGCCTGTCCATCGGCCCGAAAATCCGGGCCCGGGCCGGGCAAAATCGGAGCCCGGGCCCGGACCCGGACCCGGGTACCCCGGGCCGGGTCCGGGCCCGGGCCCAACCGGGCCGGGCTCCGGGTCGGCCCAGATTTTTTTCAATTTTTTTTGATAAAAAATGCTAAAAATTAGTTTAAATTTATTATATTTTATATAATTATGTATTAGTATATACTTATGAATTATTATGTAACTATATATTATATATACATATATTATATATATTATATATATTATATATACATATATTATATATAAATATATTATATATATTTATAATCTATAACTTGAGAGAGAGAAAATCGCATAAGTAGCCATTGTCCGTTGGGCTAATGGGGAAGAAGTAGCCGGTGTAATATACTATACTATATATATTAAGAGAGAGAGTATACACACACATTCATTTTATACTATATACAGAGAGAGTATACTTATTATAAGAGGGAGTATACATATATAAGAGAGAGTAATACCTTTATAAGAGAGAGTATACATATTATACATATATAAAATTATAGAGAGTGTATACCTATATATACTTATATAAAGAGAGAGGTATACATATATAAGAGAGAGTAATATTTATATATACATAAATACTAAGAGAGAGAGTATACACACACACATATTATACATATATAAGAGAGAGTATACTTATGATATACATATATCACTAAGAGAGAGAGTATATAATATATACACACATATATTATACATATAATAAGAGAGTGTATACTTATATATACTTATATGAAGAGAGACTATATACATATATAAGGAGGTTCTTATTTACAATATATAGCTGAAGAGAGAGAGAGTATACACACACACACACACACAGAGTATACATATATAAGAGAGAGTATACTTATATATACATATATACTAAGAGAGAGAGTATATATATACACACATATATTATACGTATATAAGAGAGTGTATACCTATATATACTTATATAAGAGAAAGTATACATATATAAGAGAGAGTATATATACACACACATATTATACATATATAGAAATATATTATATATACATATATTATATATATACATATATTATACATATATAAAAATATATTATATATACATATATTATACATATATAATACATTGGCCGGGTCGGCGGGCTTTTTGGACACCCCTAAAGATTGGTATTTGTGAATGTGGAAGGCAATGAAACAAGATTGGTATTTGTGAATTAACAGAGCGAATGGGAAGATTAAGAGATAACTGGAGAGAAAAGGCTAATGAGGTTGGCCCTAAGAGATT